CACCAGGTTTAGCAGTTATAAGGTAACACAGCACGCGGGAGATCGCCGAACCAACAACAACAGCGGTCCCGTAAGCAACCATCAGCCCCAAGAGATCGCCATTACTCTCTACATACGACTCCCGATGGGCAAATTATTCCGAAGGAGACTTTACAATTAGCTTATCTAGGCGCGCCACTTACAGCTACCTGGATAATGTGAAGTCGGATTGCCAGAAGAAATGCTAAACTCTCAGCTCAAAGAAGAAGATAACCTACCCGATAAAACCACAGAACATTACATAATTATTTACAATATAACCATTTTTGGATTAGGAATATATTATAAGAATGTAAATTATCAAATTCTAATCGTAATAAGTCTATATATAGCTACACCAAAATGTGAACTGATCCCTAATTTGGCAAACGGTGAATGTGTAGAATATACTTCTTCAACCACGTATAATATGATTATCAATTATCAATTATCAAAATCCTTTCTTCTCGGGGTAGAATATTAAAATTCAACTGAAGTGCTTCGATTATTATTCGAGGTAAACGTAACTTTCTAAATCGTTAGCTTTTATTTGGCGTTACGATGTTTTTAATGCTCACCTTAGTAATCAGTGGGCTTTAATAATAACGTAGGTGCAAACCTCAGAAACTAACGTTCGCTTGTTTTAGTAAAAATGAGCGAGTGCCACTTTATGATGCAGACGTCGTAAAACTGATTGGCTTGTTAGGATTATCTCTGTAACGCATCCACGTTTTTAATGGTCATGTTAAAACTAATTGATTACCACCACTATAAATGCAGAAAGGTTAACACGACGAATAATTTTCCTGGTCGAAATTTCGCGCATTGGATTCATATTGTGAAATCCCCGTAAACATATGCCTATACTCAAAGGGTCTTTACTCATTCATTATCATCAACAACATCTACGCCTTTCTGCAAAAGTGGAGTGGTAAATCTGACATATTGGATCTCTTTTACGGTTATGTACCTCAAAAGGAAAAAAGGAATCCTTGCATCTGTCAAGATTATTTTTCTGAGAAAAGGGTGAAGGTATCAAGTTGAAATTAATATCAAATCAAAAAATACGAAACCTATAGGATACCACTTTTTGGGGACTGATGTGGGGAGTAAACCTACAACATATAACTCGAAAAATCTTTTAGACTCGAATGCCATGATGGACGAACTGTTTCCACGCATATGTAAAAGGCCAAAGGCTGGGAACCCTTACACCATTAGGCCATATTTTAATTGTAATTAGGCAGTAATAAAAAAGGCCTCAAAAGTCGATATATATCTACAAAATTGCGAAGTTATACTATTTATAATCAATTTGAAATAGCTTTAAACATCAGGTTATGGAAGACCACCAGAGCTACAGCACTCCAACATGGTAATTCCTGTTACGCTCAATAGATGACAGCACGTTAATTACATAATTTTATCAATTGTAGTGACCTCTGTATCATTATACAACAATTAATACAAGGACTAGAGAGCTATTACGAAGGCCGGACAAGAAACTCACAGAGGTTTTTCGACTAACGTAATAACTGAAGCAATAAAATTCGTTTACATTTAAATGCATTACATGCAGGGAAACTTGAGTGTACTTATTGTTAATTGTCCCCGTGCCATAAAAATCTTTTGATATTTGAATCAGAGAAAGTAATCTTAAAAATCTCTGCAGGTCGCTCGTTGTATAAGGTTGTTATAATACGAGGGTGGATTGATAAGTTTCCGGCCTGACCAAGAAAAACAAGGTTTTTAAAAATTTTTTTTTTTTATTTCTCAACATAATCTCCAAGGCTGATACATTTCTCATAGCGGTGTTCCAGTCTATTAATGCCATCTCTATAGACTGATTCGTCAAGCTCCTCAAAATAACCATTTACAGCTTCGATTACTTCTTCATTGTCCGCAAATCTCTTACCGCCAAGCCATTTTTTGAGATTAGGGAACAGAAAATAGTCACTCGGGGCTAGGTCTGGAGAGTAAGGAGGGTGCGGCATCAATTCAAACTTTAGATCGTTGATTTTAGCCGTCGCAACGATTGACGTGTGCGCTGGTGCGTTATCGTGATGAAACAAGATTTTTTTCTTCGCCAGATGAGGTCGTTTAATTTTCACCTCGTGGCTCAAACGTTGCAATAAGTCTGCGTAGTATTGACCAGTGATAGTATTACCCTTTGCAAGGTAATCAATGTATATAATACCTCTTGCATCCCAAAAAACAGTAGCCATAACCTTGTTCGCCGAAAAAATTGTTTTTGCCTTCTTTGGAGTTGGTTCCCCTGGTCCAATCCACTGTTTAGACTGTTCTTTGGTTTCAGGAGTGTAGTGGTGGACCCACGTTTCGTCAACGGTTACGAATCGACGCAAAAATTCGCTTGGATTACGCTTATACAATGACAAATTTGCGGTAGAAATGTTTTTTCGAATCAATTTTTGGTCGACTGTTAGCAAACGCGGCACCCATCTTGCACAGAGCTTTTCCATATGCAAATGTTGGTGCAAAATATGTTGCACACGTTCATATGACATCTTACAGGTCTCAGCTATCTCACGCACTTTCAATCTGCGGTCTCCCAGCACTATTTGATGAATTTTTTCGATCATATCTGGAGTTGTGACCTCAACGGGGCGTCCTGAGCGAGGCCCATCAGAGGTGCTCACACGACCCTTTTTAAACTCGGAAACCCACTGCTTAACGGTTGAATATGACGGGGAGGATGTCCCCAGTGTTGAGTCCATCTCTTTTTTAATTTCCTTCGGCGTTAACCCCTTCAAATAAAAGTATTTGATGACAGCACGATTTTCCTGCTTTTCCATTTTTACGAAAACCACAGAGGCGTCTTGTTCAGCGTGCTGTCAAACCTACACTAGCAAGGAGATCGGGCTGAAACTATAGCTACAAGCTATCCAAGGATGGTACTATAGAATGTCACCTCAAGGTAGGCCTAGTGGCGTCATCTCTTGGTTAGGCCGGAAACTTATCAATCCACCCTCGTATTTTGTCACGCCGCTCATTTTTTTTTGCCTCGAGGTCTCGACAATTACCTTCACCTCGTTTGTCTTGCTATCCCCGCGAGTGAATTTAATTCATGTAAATCTCAGTTCGCTTCTTAACGCTTTTTAACGGTAAAACTCGCAGCTTCACTCGGTCGAGGAGGAGGCTCTCTGGTCAATGGCTAACTTTATCAAAGCGACCGACGTCAGTTCAATTTCAAGATAACTGACACGCGAGCAGGCCGCGACGGATTGATAGCAAAATGTGTCGTAAATATCAACCAGACCAGGGAGGACATAGTGATTATAGAAGAGCGCGAATACAACTGACATGGGCTCTCTGTCTATACCAAATACATGCCATTTCATAAGTAATGACACACAGTGTAACAAGGAATCCATGGTGTCAGCCTATCGTGTGGACACTGAACTTTCACTAATTTTAAAAGACTTAGATTTTAGTAAAAATTGATTATAAATTGTTAATGTTAAAAAGCATGAAGAAGACTGGGGCATTTGTTTCTTATTTGTAGCAAACTAGAACATCTTAATTTTCTTTCTTGAATTTACCATTGAAGGAAACTGTAAATGGTGGATTGCAAAAGCTAAAACAAAGAGGTGGCTATGATGGGACCTTAGATAAAGAAATTTTAAACTCAGCCTTTTTTATTTCTTTTTTATACGACCATCGCGTCCGTCAACAGTCCACTCCCTCTGCCTTACAAAAATTACCCAACATTTACCGTTCTGTTTATCATTTAATTCGTCATGTTTTAACCAATGGAAAAAGCTAACTAAATCTATAGGTACTCTTATAATTCCATGGCATTTAGGCCAAGTAACAAACTCCTTAAATCCCATCTTATTTTTGTTTCATCATCACAAGGTCGTCAGTCCTAAAACTGGTTGGACACGCGCCTTCACCCATTCCTAGAGTAAGCTAATCTTCTAATTTCTCTAAAACTAGAACAATCCACATCCTTGATCACTTGTGAACAGTAGTCTAATCTAGATCTTTCTTTCATCTTCTTAACTCCTGTTTCTGCTTCTAATATATCTCTAATTAGTCCTTCGTGCCTGAAAAAAGTGTCCCACCAATCGGTCTCTTTGTTTAGAAACTGAAGAAAGTCTTCCACAGACGAGGTTTCTGTTACTTTAAAGATTTATTACTAATATATATCACCACTAATCATCTTTTGTATTGCCGTTACATTGACTAGGTGTTCAGCATTGAACTTTGATTCGTGTTTCATTACTTATGAGCAATTTTGTATGAAATCCAGGCGTTCTGGCGAAGCAAGCGAGACGAGACGTCTTTTAAAATGCAAACTGACGGCCGCATAACACGTGGGATACGATACGTTATGCAAGTGTGTTCCTGTCTGAATCCTCAAAAACTTCCTGTGCTTGATATCGCACTTTTTCTGCGAGAAAACCAGTCACTGGAAAGTGGGTTGAACACCACGTTGCACTCAAGGAAAATAACCCACCAACAATAACGACCACACTTTATGCACAAAAATATAGCAGAGGATAATATACGGTTTTTAAAAAATACGGAACCGGTAAATGTATTAAATTATGTCAGATTCTATTCTTAACAGTTGTTTGGATTATTTCGTCTCAACTAATTCTTCAGAAAATGTATTGATTATTGCTACTTCTGACTAATCGTGGTTAGTTTTAATAATCTCAGTTTAAGATTTTGGAGGACTCAAACAATTGTGATACTAAACTATAGATTGCTGGATCTATGTATTTTCCATTGTATACGGAATTCAGTTGGAAGGCAGTTTTCTAAAGCATCAATAAATTTCTGGTGTATGGTTTACTTTGCAGATTTTTGCCAATGATACCATTATAAGGAGTTTTTATATGCTAAGCATTTCACAATTAGCAAAAAACCTTCAAATGATGGCATACTGCTGGTTTCTTACTGATGGACATCTATATACAAACCAGTGGAATGGAAAAAAGAATAATTTCACTTACCTATAGTAGTCCTTCTTACAGTAGATGTTACCGTCTCTCGAAAAACAGGTCACTTCTCCATCCAGTGTGTTGCGGCACTGACAACATTGAAGACAGGTCGCGTGCCACCTCCTGTCAACGGCCTGCAGGTAGTAACGATCAGTAATTTTCATACCGCATCCGGCACACACGGCCACCTCGTCAACGTTTGCGTTCGAGGGTGGCGTCGGCGGTGTCCTTGGGGGTTGAATAGGTTCTAACTTGGGTATCTGTTGTTCTAACTTGGGTATGTGGTGTTCGAAGGAGGAGTGTGGTCTACTGCACAGCTCCGTCGGTCCGGCTCTGCAGATGTCCGTGTTGCAAGGATGCGACGCTCCGCAGGAAGACGACTGGTGGTTATTGTTCGAGGGTGTGCTGCATGAACTGCTGCCGGAGATGCTGCTGTTGGGATCCAAGTCCCCCATTGACGAGTCGCACGACGGGAGATTCGGCGAGAGGTCGCGGGATGGGTCGTACGCCGGACCGATGTATTGCTCGTGCTGCTGCTGAAAAATGAAAAGAAATTTTAAAGTCCCTGTTGCTGCTAATAGTTATCCGAAAAGTCGGACTTTGATTTTATTAAATATATGAAGTCCTGTGACATTGTTAGTTACTTAATAGTGGATTAATATGCAATATTAATTTGAAATCATTTTTTCGATTTTTTATTTACCCCGCCGGGAATCGAACCCGGGACCTTTGGCTTTACGCACCAATGTTCTGACTGCTATACTACGAGAGGTGACAACGGCAACCACGACCAATCGACCTACAAGGTTAACGATCCGTCGATTTTTATTAACTTAATTTTGTATATATATTAAATNGGATTTTCATAATTTATCATTTTTTAATTTCGGAAGCGCAATCTGTTTATTCGGCCGTTAAACGTGATCTTTGGCGTGGCGTTAGCTAATTTTATTAAGCCGAACGAGAAAAAATGAGTTACGACAGTATAATTTCGGCAATAAAGTTTTATGACCGCACGATAAGTGCAATGGCAGACGCATACCCGCAACATATCGCGCGGACGGACGTCGCGTCGCTCTCCGCCTGCGTTCCTCCATATACATGTATCCAAGATAAGAGAAGGCATCTGACGGTAAACGGTCGTTATCAAAGCGGCGGTGGTGGTGATGACGACGACAACGACGACGGTGTCGAATGCCAGCAATAATTTCGAGTGGCTCATAAAACACGGATTGTTTTCTTGACCTGTTCGTCCAAAAAGAAAACATCGTAAAGCTTGAGGTAGGTAGTGGATCGGTGGCAGTAAGTAGGTAGTAGTAGTTGCAATAAAACGGGTCGTTAAAGTTGACTTTTACTGCACTTAAAAAAATACGATCCGCGTACACATCTAGGCGGCGTCGGAGGAGGTGACGACATGGCACGTGCCGCACTCAGATAACGTAATAACGGCAACAATAATAAAGTTCAAATTAAGCTGATCATTAAAATAATTTTAAAGGCTGATAAACGCCAAGTTTTAGTGCTTTATGCGTCCATGAAGTTGTCTAAGTGCCTGAATCTTCTTCATCTCTCTCTCTCTAGCTGATCCTCTCTTCTACGTTGTGAGGTCAATTAATCACTCCCATTATTGCTTTTATGGTTTGTTATCCTTGGTAATTTCTTGGCCAAGTGACTCGTCTGACGGCGATCTCTATCGGTGGAAGGCAGCAATAAAGTGGGAAGTTTTAAGTGGAACGTCAGCGGAACTTTACAGATGCCGCCCGACGAGTAGCCGCCTCGTCGGCGGTTTCAGGTGATATATATATTAAATATATGAAATCCTATGACATCGCTAGCCACTCAATAGTGGATTAATATGCAATATTAATTTGAAATCATTTTTTCGATTTTTTATTTACCCACTACAAACTACCTCAAATTAATTGTTGCCGTTGTCACACCCCCGCCGGGAATCGAACCCGACTCGACCTTTGGCTTTACTTTACTGTTGTCACCTCTCGTAGTTTAGTGGTCAGAACATTGGTGCGTAAAGCCAAAGGTCCCGGGTTCGATTCCCGGCGGAGGTGTAACAACAGCAACAATTTTTTCCTCATTAATTTGAGGTATTTTGTAGTGGGTAAATAAAAAATCGAAAAAATGATTTCAAATTAATTCTTGATTTTATTGTTATTATTAAACTATTATTCTACAGTCCAAAAGAAAACAAACAATATGGTAGTTATTTTCAATGGGTTCGAATCCAGTCTCACAATTTCTTCAATAAAACTTTCGACCTTTTCGAGAGATTCACTATGTAAAGTAATAGGATCAAGAAGCGAAAAGTGTAGTCACTCCAAAGTATTTTTTGATTTGGTCTCAGAATTATTTGAGCACACTAATATGTTGAAGAACCGTTAATATCAATATCGGGATGATGTTGATTTGAAGGGGATAGACTATATAAAATATGCGACAGGGAGGTAGATAGGATAGATAGGGGATAATAGAATGGATGAATGCTATAAAAAGGTGAATAAAAATGGAGCAAACTGGAGGTAATTTTAAAGACTAGGGGACCGTTTTTTTTACCGTTAATATCAATATTTCGCTTGTTTTGCTTTGAAATTAAGATGCCTCGAAATTTCATGTCAATTTCATCCTCCTATAGTAGCAGCTCCCCATTTTTCGAGACCACGATTCGGCGACAAGTGATGAACATCGGAGATATTTTCCTTGTTCTATAGTTTTACTTTTCTTTAGAATTAGCGTATCTCAGAATACTGACAGGATGCGAGGAAAAGAGAGAGGAAATTCGGCTTCATGACAATTTGTTTTTGACGTGACAACGTCTTATAATTCGATGGAGCCGGCTGCACGCACGAAACAACATGACTCATGCGGTGTTACCTCGCTCTGAGGCGTTCCATTTAAAGCTTGAAGTGCAAGCGAGAGCGCGGAACGAGTGAGAAAGAGGCACAATCGGCCTCCGCGTTCGGCAGCGTTCGACATCTGTCTCTCTCCTACTTGAGTGAGCGATGCGTCCGCGTGGACAGCTGCTATACAATAATACATTTCCATTTACCTCCTTCTCTATATCCATACAAAATATCTATCAAACAAATAAAATTAAAATTTTCTTTTGAAAAATGAAACCATTTCATCAGTATTTTCTTATGACGTTGTCACGTTCAATTATCGTCAGTAAACCGACTTTACAGACAACCGATTTTTAATTTCCTGATTTTTATACCTTCATATGGTCCAGAATCATAGATACATTGAAAAGTCAAGTTCCTTATAGGTCTCTTTGTACCTACTGGCTGTTTTACGGGGCAATTTGTTTTTGATAGCAACAAAGGCAAGTTAAGGAATGTTATGGTAAAAATTCTATTGTTTAACCAATAAATACGAAGTTATGAGTTGAAAGAAGTTCAATGTTCTTTTTAGCATAAATGAATTCAGCATATGTGCATGTAAAAGTGTTCGAAATTCCAACAATTTCATCGTGCACCGTACACTACTGTTAACATGAAATGATTACACAATCATTACGATAATAATAAACGAGTGGTTACAGTCGGTAATGCACTCACTCAAAATCAGAAAACACGCGGAGCCTCGACATAACCACAGCGCATTCATATGTGCAGATCCGGATTAGGCTTGCGAATAATAAAGGGTACTAGCGAGTGAAACCTAAACAATACAATTTGTTAATGGCCCTATATCAGTTTTTGTCAGCATAAATTTCGTTATTTCTACCCAATCTCTTTTAGTAATATGTTTGTTTTAATGTTAGCAAAAATACGTTACTTACTGTAGATTGTTACTTTATTACAAATTGGTAGAATACCAAATACTCATGTAATGTAATTTGGACAGTAGGTGGCATTTTTTTAGATTATTTTGTAATATAACTTTTAAACGCCACAACGCCGAACATTAAAAATGTCATTAGAAGATATGTACATATATGCAACCAACTATATACATGAAATTATAGACATTTAAACCCGCTCACTTCTTTGCAAGTGTTTATTTCCAATTCGAATACTGTAAAATCGGCAACTTTTAATTAATGATTCTAATTAAACGAAAACATTTTGATTATCGATAGTAGGCCCAAGTAATCTTTAGGTACATCTTTTAATTAAACGTTTTAAGCGTCAGATAGTTCCGGAATGTTGTGTACTATCAGCTATACCAGTTATATTGATTTCAGTTACAAGTTAAAAATGCTTTTCTTTTGTCAGCGAGTGATGGACAAACATACAAAACTTCGGTAAAACATTTGATGATGAAAAGTTTCTGAACATTTCTGCAGTGGTAGAATTCTGATTGCATACATCGTGAAGCACTGAAGATGCCATCTATTAAGCAAGGCGAAACGTCTGCAATCAGAATTCCACCATGGTAGAAAAGCTCAAAAGCTCTTCATCATCAATTAGACACCGGCCGTGAAAGCTTACGCACATTATTTATACGATTAAGTATATGCAATGTATATAAAAGGGTTACAACTTAACAAGATTAGTTGGATCCAACAGAATTTTTTTTTGAATGAATTTAATCTGTATATTTTGTTGAACTTTTAATTCGAAATGATTTAAATCCGGTGCTGTACAGAGAGTATATACAGTACTTACTTACGTGGTCGAAGAGGCATCTTCGTGAAACGATTTAGAAAGCGCACTCTGATGTTCAATGAACGCAATTTTATCCGACATCATCGGCAATTGCTGCAGCTTCAAGGAGAAGCAAGCACGCATTTTTTGGTCCGTGTGAAAGTTCGACATCGCGTCTGTCCATCGAAGGAACGAAGAAACGGTATAGCAAGCGTCCTTGCCCGATTATTATGAAAAATAACCCGACCAGAAAAAGTCGCGGATAATAATCAGCAATTCTTTCACGATTTTATTTTATTTATTGTAAAATCACGTCGAATCCGCCTGCTCAACAACTGACCGTCGACAGATTTACTAATAGTGCCAAAGCTTTCATTGAAACTTTTGCTTTTTTTGAAAGCAATGGCTATACATTTGAAAAAAACGTCACAGTACTATGCTAGGAGGTAGTTCTGACGGAATTTGGTACTTGTTATTAAAATTGTGAAGCTGAGATGATATTAAATAGATCTGGCAGTTTTACTTCAGTACAGTAAAAGCTCTTTATTCGCGGGGTATACGTTCCATAAATATGCCGCGAATAAAGAATGGTAATTAGTATGGAATCGTAGGGGATACGTTCTAAGGTTCCAAAATAAAACCAATATATTCGCAATTAAAATTAATCGTTATAATCAGTTTTAGATAAGAGTTTAAAAAATTTAGTGATTTTTTCTTGTTTTGAATTTTGAATTAGTCTACTCGGTTACATCTTTTAGTTACCTCGGTACAAGCCAACAGTACTTAAAAAATGCCGATACTTGAAAAATAACACCGAATCCTTTTCTGTTTACTCGGTAACATCTTTTATAAAAGCTGCCTCAGAACTTACATACTCAAAATATGCCAACAGATTAAGGGGATTCTGGATTCTGGATACGTGCGCCGTAGAA